ATAACAGAGACCACATATATTCAGTTAAGAAACTCTTTGTCCTTCAATGTAGAGCAGGTCAACAGTGAAACCAGGTGACCTAATACTGTTATTATCGTCAGCATCAAGAGGTAGTGCGCTTGGTGCTGAGCCTGCTAGTTCGAGTCCCGGGATGGATTTGGATGAAAAAAGTCGAACTAGTACGGCCAGAAGGAGACCCTTCTAGTCAGAATGGCAAGAGTTGTTCATCCAAATTCACCTTCATAGAGGACCAGCGCTGGGTATTATCAAGCATAGCACGCTTACGCGTCGCCCGGCACAAACAACGCGTTTGTTGGTCTCTACCCAAATTACGGGCATCCGATGTTATCTGAAGCCCTTGGCATCAAATACCTCTTGAATGACAGCATACAGGAACCTGCACACTTACATATGGTAGAATTTGGCGAAAAGTCAATTTGTGTGAATAGAAATTCCAGTCATTCTAGACAGCATAAAGCGAGTTTTTCCACAATCACATGACTAGGCCTAATCTCTTTCCGGCTATTAGGGATGTTGATAGTTTTGACAAAATCTATTGACCCCCAATCATTTGTCAAGCTGGAGAGTCTTCATATCTGCCAAAATGCTGGCACTCCAACTGCCGTCTCGCATTGGCCATACGATTAGTTATTTCTGCTTTTTGAATCCGTAAATCTTTTATGTGATAATTATTTTACAGTTCTCCTCTGCATAGACGTCATTATATGAGTTGAAAAGTGGGTCAGAAGGTTGCCAACTAGAGGCATACGCGAGGAGATGGCTATTCCTTCATCCTAATTAATCAAATTTCCTCACAACAATTCACGATTTACTGACAATTTGCAAACCCACTTTATATTTTTGTATTTATTTGAATGTAATAGTATAATATAAAGGCAGTAATAGCCTGCAATTTCTCTAATTGAATGAAAAATTGAATATCATAACATTTTTTAGATACGAAAAGTGATTGTGTTTTTACGAATATCTTAATATAACATTTCTAGGGAGACTTTTGTTTCGTATGCAAGTGCATCCTAAAAAGATTCGTTGTTTCAATTCACCAGAAAACAATAGCCGATTTAACATGTTTTGCAGCCGCTTGGTCCGAATACGACGTTCATGTTGACTCTGTTCACGAGACAGCATCGCTCATTTCATTTTCGTTCATCACATTCTCAGTTTTGCCCGAAACGAAACATGATGAAAGTCTCTCCAACAACACTGACATTTTGTCCATCATAATGATGGTACCGGTGGCCCATGTTGACGATGACGGTGAGGCTGATGGGCCGTTTACTGCAATTGCGATGGGAACACTGAGTTGCTGCAGTCGAAGACGGAGCCAATCCGGTCCTCAAAATTTGGGCGAAAAGAGAGGCCTACAGGTCAGGTGGGATCACAAATCTGCCCTTCTTTGGGCCTCCGGTGGGGGGGGAACTCAATTATCACTTCGGCAGCACGACTCAGGCTCATGAAAATGTCGAAGGCCTGCCATGGTTGATATGGCGATATCAGAGCGCCCCGATTACGTAAACACGACCAAAAGGGGCACGGTCCCCGGGGGGGAGGGCTATTAGAGGGGTTCGGATAAGCAGCAGTGAAGAGGTGTGCTCGCACACCCTTTGGTCAGGAGGCCTAAGGAGCCGGCAATAACGCTATCCTTGTTGCCAGGCCGACTGGGCGGCATTACAATAAAATGTACATTTACATATTCCCAGTCCAGACAAAACCCTCTTTGTGTACACATCATGTCTGTCTTGATCCTACTAGCCATTCTGTATACACACACATTTATATTTGTCTGTCTTACCGTCTTTCCATGTAGAGACTGGCCGGACGACCGATGGAGGAGGTGTCTGGACATGTCGGCCTGCCGGCCCGGCAACTTTGTTATCGGTTGAAATAAGTCAGATAACTGAGCTACCTGTTCATGGCAAGGGGCATCACAGCGACAGCGGAATGGGGGAATGGTAGATTTTATACCAACTGCAGAGACATGCATCTCTGTCCAGCTAGGCCTACTGGCAATTGGGTGTGATGGTACTGGTTCGAATAGCGTCTGAAATGGTGATGAGGTCAGTTCAGGCAAGGTTGAACCACCAGTTGCGTCCGGTCGTGGAAAGATGGCATTCTGAGGCCTCTTCGTGCCAGGACTAGACGATTCAAGTACCAGTTCTTATTTTTCCAATAAAGTATTGTTTTACTGACTACCAGTAAATCAGTAAAATGAGATATATTCACCAAATTTGGTTTAAGGTGATGAAGGACTTGTAGAAGAAGAATTTTCCCACAATGATATGAGTTGAGCTGAAGTTTCCATACAATTTCACAGATCCTTGCTTTCCCAAAAGTTGTTCTCATCCTTAAACGAAATTAAGTGAATAAATTTCATGCTGAGACTTTTCCTTTAGTTTTCGAATTAAGTATTGTTTTCGTGACTACCAGAAATAAATAATATATGTATTCACATAATTTCGTTTAAGGTGATTAAGGACTGGCAGAAGAAGAATTTTCCCACATTGATATGAGTTGAGCTGACGTTTCCATACAATTTCATAGATCCTTGCTTTCCCAAAAGTTGTTCTCATCCTTAAACTAAATTAAGTGAATATATTTCGTGTTGAGAATTTACTTTATTTTTTTGAATTAAGTATTGTTTTCGTGACTACCAGTAAATCAGTAATATATGTATTCATA